TCATTTTCCTGAGCTGAGTGTCAAAATACAGTTTCCAAGGCCCAGGGCTGCTGAATCTGAATTTCTACCTGTAGAGCCCGGTAGTCTCCATTTTAACAACCTAAGCAGATGTTCCTAAACATAGCGCCCTAGGGCAACAGTTAGTGCCCTGTCTGGTCTCCCCAGTCTGTGCTCCAGGTTCTTAACCCTTTCTTGCATGATAGAGTTTGTAGATGCTTGGTGATCTTAGGTGCCTTCCTATGGACACTCCATAGTTTATCAAGGTTCCTGTTTAAATTTGGCACCCAAAATTAAACCTGCTCCTATAGAAATGGTTTATTAACGCGGAGTATAGAGAGACAATTACCTTCCGTGATCTAACTGCTACTTATATTAAAGTCACTCAACGCTAGCATTTTTAGTAATTACATAACTCTGTTGGTTCATAAAATGATTGTAATCAACTAAAGTCACAGATTTTTTTCACTTGAACACCCATATTTGCGCTAATCTAAATGCGAAATTTTATATTTATCCCTATTAAATTTAATTCTGTAAATATGCCATCTTATTAAGATAATTTTCAGGATTTGATTTCTGCACCCATCATATAAATGTGTTTGTCGATGGCTTTATACAGCATCAAACAGTCTCTGATAGAGAGCCACAGGTCTCTCTGCCTTTACCTTATTCTATTTGAGGTTTTTATAATTGACTTGGGTGAAGAGAAACAAAGCACTTCTGGGGGAATATGTGCCAAGATATTCAAAGGCACAGAAATGCCAATTTTACCTAAAGAAATGAGATTGATTAGAGGGATAATTATTTTTTTTTTTTAAATTATGGCATAATGGAAATTCACATGGTTTTTAATCAAGATAAAATAATCCAGAGAAAGGTCTCTCTTCTGACAGCCACTTAGGACAATTGCCCTGGTGTCTCCAGATGTGCATGTCTACTTTCCCCTTCCACGAGGACTATTCCATGGAGAAGCTTGAGAAGCACTAATATAAGATAGCCCATCAATTTTCATGTCCTCTGCAGAGATGAGAAGTCTACGTTCATCCAGTGATTTACAAAAATGCTAAATGGAATAGGGTGAAGCATGCTACTAGACACTTCCTCATGTTATGTAAAGCCATCACTAGACATTCTTGAGAGGAGGCAACCCGTATGACTCCATCAAGCCGAGACAGAGAGCAACAGAAGCTGCCATGTGATTCTCCAGCAGTTCTTCGAGCTATCTGCCTGGTGACCTCGTAAAAATTAGCCATAGTAGTTTATCAAAGCTGCTCCTTAGTCGAAATTTGTTGACTGCTAGTGACCATAACACTCATGTCTGTGTGCTCAGAAACAAGCCTTTTAACAATCTGTTGTCAAATCTGAAAACAGAATCGAGTCGTCTGTAATTTCCAGAATCCACTCTATTCCCTTCTGCAAAAATAAAGAGAAAGTTACCCATCTGTGGTCTGGTGGTATCTTTCCTATCTGCCATGACTTTTCAAGGACTGCCAAATAGTAGCTCTGAGATTATGGCTGAAAGTTCTACTACCACTCCGGTACATAATTCATCTGGCCTCATTTTAAACATCTTGGACTTAGTTTACTAATCCATCGTCTACCTTGGGCTGAAATTCCCACTTTTCCTAGTTTCTTCTCCATATTCAGTTTAAAAACCCATCTAGAAAAGAGAGAAGAAAAAATAGGAGTTGAAAGATTCTGCTACTTCTCTGATATATTTTCTGTTACCATCTCTAAGCTGTAGATTTATTATTTCCTTGTTCTTTTTGACTAAAAAACAACCAAACAAGCCTTATAGTTCCTTCTGGTCAACATTTCCATTTTTGTTTTGATTCTTAACTTATTGGGGGCCTAAATTTATGACACTTTTATATTAGATTTGCTACATTTCTACATTCCTCCTTGGTTACTCAAACTTTTTTTTTTCTTTTATACATATCATTTGAAATTTTAAATTATTAGACAGCCATTCAACTTTCCTGAGCTGTCTCCCATTTTATTCAAATTATTTCAGAATTATTCAGCTAGAAATTTTTTTAAAAATCTCCCTTCATGGGCTGGCCCCGTGGCTTAGCGGTTAAGTGCGCACGCTCCACTGCCGGCGGCCCGGGTTCGGATCCCGGGTGTGCACCGACACACCGCTTCTCCGGCCATGCTGAGGCCGAGTCCCACATACAGCAACTAGAAGACTGTGCAACTATGACATACAACTATCTACTGGGACTTTGGGGGAAAAAATAAATAAATAAAAATTAAAAAAAGAAAAATGGGGATGTTTTTAAAAAAAAAAAATCTCCCTTCATTAGCCATAATCCCTTTTTGAGACTCAAGTCTAGGGGTCAAAAATTTTTTTCTTTGAACTTTTTGTAAAAGTTCTCCAAAGTCCAGGGCCCTTCTCCGACACTAAAGTCCAGGATTTGCTTTTCTGGCCACCATAAACTATTAGCTTAGAGTCCTCAACATTTTTTATATCATAGCACATCATTGATGATAGTCTCACATGTGACACACCCTCACCGTGCACCCCAAGTTTTACAAACCTCAAATACATTATGTCTGAAAGTCAAACATTGTAATCATGTCTAATTGCCACATATATTGGCTATACATCAGTTATGCTATGTATCATCCACAGTTCTCATGGTGACATTGATTAACAGGCTGTTGATTACGGGGAATTCCATGCTGCTCGCTATCATGTCAGCCTTTCTCTCCCACTCAAGAAAGCACACTTGTAAGAACGTAAGAGCAATGATATCATCAGGATAACCTTGACTACACTCAAACGTATGTATTTTTAGAAAGCAGATGATTTATAATTTTAGTTCTTTCACTATTAGTAACAAATTACTTGCAACTCACTGCCAAGACCAAGCTGAAGATGACAAAGGTGCTTTCTCCCCTCCATATCACCAATCAGCTTTTCCTCGCTGGTCAAAATTAAGTCCAGACCTCACTTGATTTTGATTATGAGGGCAGTCAGTAATTTATCTCCTTTTTTGACAAATAACCTGCCTTTGTACAATATGGGTGCCATTCGGCTCAGTAGTCTGTCACATTCTCCTGCAGTATTTTGGCAAAGCCCTTTAAATATGGCAATGAAATTTCATGATATGTTTAGAGTAAAGAAATGCAAGTTTTTTGCAATCTTTTAATCTAAAATAAGTTGATCTAACATAATTTGAACCTAACACAAAGTTATCTGCAAAAGGTATTTTTCTAACAAATCCCAACAATGAATACTGAATTAAAAACTGTTAGCTCATCAGACAATGCACTCAGTGATGGAAGCACCAAGGACAAGTAGGCTGGAAAGGAAAGGAAATTATACCAAAAGAGGAAATGGGGGAGTTCAGAGTGGGCTGTCTATCCATATTGGTCATCTTCTAATGTGCGGATTATGGCTAAACTAGAATTATTTTTTTCTTTTCTTTTCTTTTCTTTTTTTTTTGGTGAGGAAGATTGGCCCTGAGCTAACATCCATGCCAATCCTCCTCTTTTTGCTTGATGAAGACTGGCCCTGAGCTAACACCTGTGGCCATCTTCCCCTATTTTGTATATGGGATGCCAGCACAGCATGGCTTGATGAGGGGTGCGTAGGTCCACCCGGGGATCCGAACCTGCAAACCCTGGTCTGCCAAAGCAGAGCGCGTGAACTTAACCACTACGCCACCAGGCGGGCCCCTATTTTTTCTTTTGAATTAAGAGCCATTTAGAATAAACAATTTCTCATTCTCCAGCTATTTGTATTATAATTTCCACAATGTGTTACATTAAAGGCAATCTGTTTCTTACACAAAATAAAGTATTTTCTTAGAACTTGCTTCTCAGAATATTTCAGGACTTCTGACATACCTTTATAAATCTGTTCTATACTCCAAAATCTTCAATGTAAAGGGAATAATCTTTAGTAAGGGTGGTGAAATACTTCTTTTTTTAAAAAAAAAAACCTAAATTTTATTTATGAATCCCCTTTTCTCTCTGTTCATGTGACCCACTCCAATTCAATTTCCCTGATGTTTTTAATGTAGAAAGTTTGACGAAATGAATCCACTGAAGCTGCTCTTTCAAAATCCTAAAACATGCTTTTTGGATCTAAAAAGACTTTCCAAGTTCTTCTCTTTACCCAGGAAATCAAAACAACATGGCAAGAGACAAACAGCTGAGCTGTAGTCCTTTGGCTACTTGAATATCTTTGGAGGAAGCAGAAGGGAAAAAAAGAAATGAAGGAAGGAAGAGGGGAGGGAGACAAGAGAGGGAGAGAGAAAAGAAGAGTAAATATCAAAATATTAAAGAGATTGTTTTAAAATGAGCACCTTTTTAAAAAAATACCCATACAGTCAGTTAGCAAATGTATTAGAATGCAATAGTTACTATTTGTTGAAATGACCTTACTATTTACCGTGATCCTCTTTTTAAACTTATTTTTGCTAATACCTGTATTTCTAAGGACAAGGGAAAAGTTGTTCTTACTGCAATATGAATACAACCACACAGTGTTGTAGTGCCTAAGAGTGCCAAGAGCCAGAGCCCCCCCCCTCCGCTGGGCTGGATTCGACCTTAGTCAACGCAAAACTCTGCATCCTCCCCGTCTTGCACACCAGGCAATGGCAGCAAATGTCCACGGCAGGTCCCAGAAAGCACTTTGAACACGAATGAACATCAAGGCACAGCTGGTTACACTAATCTTTCTTCACTGCCCAAAAGACCATCTTTTTAAAATTCAGACTTCACTTTTTCACAACTATTTTCATATAAATTTATTTTTAAGAACTAAAACATTACCTTAAAATCTATTAATAACTTATTAAGCACTACTCTAAAAATTATTTCTACGGACATCTTCCATACAACAAAAATCAAAATTATTTGTCCTTTCAGCTCAGAAGTCTCATGGTATTTTTTAAACACAATTAAAAGTGTTCCATTTGTGATTTTCATGGAGGATGTGAAAGTCTTCCCCAAAGTCACCCAAACAGAGAGTCAACGACACCCGCAGATCCTTAATTGTGTGGAGGAAATTCTGTCAAGTTCACGTGCGCCTGAGCTGTCAAACCTCAGCAATAATAGTCTGGTCTAGAACCCTCACTTTTAAAAGTCGTCTGAGATTCCACACTTGACCTAGAACAAAGCAGCAACTTTTCTGAATCGTCTCTGTGCCTTCGCGTCCAAAGCTCCCCCACACTTTGAGACCCGGGGGACAGGGTCTCAAACTGGATATAGGTCTCTTTTGCCAAATCCTCTTCCCAGAAGGAGTCTGACTTACATTGCAGTTTGCAAACTTTGTACAACAGGAAAAAAATCAATGGCAAGACAACAACACAGGCAGTACCGCTCACCACGATAAGGACAGACCCTTGAAAATCACCTGTTTCTTCCACCGTACCAGTAGAAAAGGTGACACATTGGTCTCTCTGGGGAGGCACTCCTTTTGGACAGACACATGCTATGTATTGCTTACCAGGATCCAAGCCATCTATAGTTACTTGGTTCTTGCTGGAGTCTGCATTCAGCAGCAGCAGGTCCTCCTCACCATACTTGGAATACAACACGTTCACCTCAGAGTTAGGCATGGTGTTGATGGTGTTCCAGACCAAAGTCACACTCTGTTCAGTCTCACTGACTACCCTGAGATTTTCTACTGTGGCATTCATCTCCACAGACAGTGCTCGATCCAACAACGCCAACTCTTTTTTACTTGCACTAGCTGGGGGAAGCTTACCTCCACTCATCTCCACCTTTAAATTTCTTTTCCCACCTGGGTAGAGCGGGAGTGACTGCCGGCCAGCCACGGTGGTGCTTGCTGAAATTCCAGTGCCTTGAGCTGTCGTTGAAGAAACAATGGAGGAGAAGAAAGGAGATAAGGAGAAGGAAGCAATGGAGGGAGGAGACAAAGCAGAAGTAGAAAGAAGAGTGGAAGAAGCAGAGGAGGAAGAAGGCCAGGGAGATGACGAGGGGCCAGGCATGGACGGAGATCGTCTAGATTCTGGCTGGACCTCTTGCTCAGGGTGATCTCCAGTTCCTCTTTCAGAAGTGTCTGATGAGGTGGCAGTTGTGACAACACCCACCACTGTCACAGTAACCACAGCTTCTGACATCCCAGCCAAATTTTTGGCCTTACATTTGTAATCCCCAGCATCCTTGTATGAAATGCCTGTCAAGCTTATTATGGACCATCTGACTCCTTCCCCTGGAGATTCCTGAATTACTGGAAGAAAAAGATATACATACTCTGTGAGGGAAGAAAAAGGAAAAACTCAAGCAACATGCCAACTGAAGCAACTATCTGGTTCTACATGCATCCCTCTGACACAAGCCGAGAGGGAAATGACACACTGCAAATCTCTGATGGCGGGTGATGGTTCTGTGAATTGTCTACGTGAAGGTCTAGGACACGCCAGGGGCCACAAGCTCTGTATGGGGAATGGTATTTTAAAAAGACATGGGGCTGCAAATTAGAAGACCTGGGTTTAGTAAACTTTTGTCCCCTAAGTAGTATGTGATTTCAGACAAGTCAATTAATGTCTTTAGGCCTCTGTTTCTGTATTTTTTAAAATAAGGGGATAAGATAAAATGATCTGAAAGATCCTTCCAATTTTAACTCACTGTAGCTCTATAAAATGTTTATCACATGACCTTACTTAAATATTTCCCCAAATATTTTTTCTTGTAATAAAATGTCATCTATCTACGTAGCCAGAAGGTACAGCAGATCATTTTCTGGCATGGAGGAGTCATAATTTGTATTGTCAATCTTTCATTTTATATTTAATTTAGATAAACATCTAAACCATGGATTTTTTTATTTGCAGAATAATACATAGTTTTGCAAAATTGGAATTTTACTTTCCTAAACACTAAAATCTAACATATTTCCATTCTGTCTTGATTTCTGAAGGGTAATACTGGATTGAATGTCTCAATAGCCCAAAATGTAACTCACCACCTTAAACTGTGAGCCGTTTACTCTCTATTTGTAGGAATATTAGGCCTTGAATTTTTTTTATTTCATCAGGTTTCATTATTTCAATCTCGATTTAAATTTAATTTTAAAGAGTTTTAAAAGTCTATAGTGAGACTATCACTATAGAACTAAGGCCAAAGCATTGACTTGGTCATAGTAGGATCTGAAAATGTATGTAACCAATATTTCTAAAAATTATACTTTTTGTTTCTAATAAGGTTTGCACATAACTTAATATTTAAATAATCATTCAAAAATGAGAAACTTGTATGAAAATCCCTTTTAAGAAAATCGTAATGGTCATACATTTTAACGTGAGCTGTATCCAAGATGATGCAGAAAGACAAAGGCCTTATCTGCAACCAGCATCCACTGGATTGTGTTGTTTTCTATCTAAGAAAAAAATCAGATTGTCTGATTTCATCTATGTCAGTAGTCAGATAAACTGAGGACAATATTAACCAATAAAATGAACCATTCAAATTCCCTCCACCCAATAATTTTGGCATATTTTATTAGAATTAATCAGCCAATTGTAAACCACACAAACACATGAGATAATTTCAGACCCTTGAAAACTCTGTTTCATGGGCCTGCATTAAGAGAATACCTGTATAGTTAGCCGGCGAGCTGTCGGCTCTGGTCCACGTGAGCTGCGGGGTGGGGAAGCCTGTGGCATCGCACCGCAGCAGCACATTACTGCCCAGGGCGGACGTGATCTGGGTGGCCGAGGTCATCACCGACGGCTTCAGACACTGCTCCAACTCAGCCCGCTGAAAAGCAATCCCTGCCAGGCGCTCGGGTTCACTACAAATCATCAGTGGGTCCAGAAGCACTACAGCGGGGTCAGCAACCTTTGACAACTCGATCATTTTGGAAATGTGACAGTCACAGAGCCAAGGGTTGTCCTGCAGACCTAAACCAGAGGGGAGGAAAAGGCTGAAAAGCTTATTCTGACGACTTCAGTTTATGTCACAGCCTCCTGGGGAAGCAGGTGTCTGCACGGTCTCCCTAAGAACAGACGTGCTTTGAGGGATGAAACGAAGCACCTCTCTGTCAGTTCTGCCCTGCAATCCAGCCGCTGAGTGAGCACAGCCTGTCGGTTCAGATCATCAACACATGGCCAAGTTACTGACCAATTACACTGTTCTAGGCTCTGCTCTAAGCACTTACCTGCATTATCTCATTTCATCCCAACAATCCTATGAGGAGGAGAGTATTCTTATCCCCATTGTAAAGCTGAAGAAGCCGAGACACGGAGAAACAAAATAATTTGACCATGGGCCAGCCCCGTGGCTTAGCGGTTAAGTGTGTGCGCTCCACTGCTGGTGGCCCAGGTTCGGATCCTGGGCGTGCACCGACGCACCGCTTCTCCGGCCATGCTGAGGCTGCGTCCCACATACAGCAACTAGAAGGATGTGCAGCTATGACATACAACTATCTACTGGAGCTTTGGGGGAAAATTAAATAAATTTAAAAAAAAAAAAAAATTTTTTTCAAAATAATTTGACCAAAGTCACACAGTTCATCAGCGTCAGAGCCAAGATTTGAATCCAAGTACCATAGGGTGCCATAAATACCATGATAGACATATTTCTAGGGTGCTATTAAAGTACTTACAGTTTTTTAAGTATTATAGGGTGCTGAGAGGCACCTAACGCAGCCTGCACTGTGTCACTGTTCTGTGTGGTGTGAAGACATGCTGAGGTAGTATAAGTTCTGTGGAGCAAACCATAGAGTGAGAGGCAGCAGCGTCAGGAGAGAAGACTGGAAAGACTAGTCAAGGCTAGAACATGGTTTGGCATGGATGTCACATGTAGTGGCTGCTCAAGTCTCCCCTCAAGAGACAGTCAGCAGCAAGGGTAGTGAGCTGTCAGCTTCCGTTGCAAGTGCCTCCAGGACCGGCCTCAGCTTTCAGAACTGTTAGCCCAAGTGAGTTGGCCTTCAAGGGGGCTGTCTGGGAGCTTAAAGGAAAGTGAGGAAAATGTTACTGGAAACTAGAGGAAAGGGGACCCTTGTTATGGAGTGGCAGAAAGTTTAGCAACACCGGCACCTGTGGTTAACCTAGAAAGTGGAAAACATACTCAGTGACATGCATGCTCTAGCTAAGGGCGTTTCCACACAGTGTTGAAACTCCTGCCTGGTGTCTCCTTGCTGTGCATAGTAAAATGTAAAGGAGAGACAAGAGCCAAAGGAAGAACCGATAAATACAAAGGATCCAAATCTTGCTAGGTTCAATAATAGAATTGTTTCTTACTCCAAGCCTCTCCAAAGTTCTCAAATTAAGAAATGGTTTCAAAGGGGGCTGGCCCAGCAGTGTAGTGGTTAAGTTCACGTGCTCTGCTTCGGCAGCCCAGGGTTCAAGGGTTCAGATCCCGGGCACAGACCTACACACCACTCATCAAGCCATGCTGAGGCAGAATCCCACATATGAAAGAGAGGAAGATGGGCACAGATGTTAGCTCAGGGCCAATCTTCCTCAGCAAAAAGAGGAGGAATGGCACAGATGTTAGCTCAGGGCTACCCTTCCTCACCAAAGGAAAAAAAAAAAGAAAGGGCTTCAGAGAAAAAACAAGTCTAGGGTGGGTGGGACTGTACAATCACTTGCTAAGATCTCAGAAGGGTCTAAGATGGTGCTCGGAGCCTTCAGTCAGACAGAAGTCTCTCTAAGGACCTTAAGGGTGATGTCCCACAGCAGCTTCACCCGAAGCCTGAGGGTGAAAAGGATTTCTCTCACAAAGATTTGTGGGTGTGACTTTTTACTAATGGAATGGATTATACCTTGATTCATAAGGAGAAAAGACAGAACTGCAATTTAAAAAAATTCTAACCATGGCGGAAGATTTAACTGTTCATTCATAAATTCTAGTTTTATATAAATGCCTATTTTTAATATAATAGCACTTTATGACTGGCTCATATTTTTCTGCCAGTATTGGTAAAAGTTTACCTTTTTTAATGTTCTATCTCATAAGTTGCATTTCTTCCATGAGTGAACTGCCTTGAACTTTTTCCTCTTACATTTAGTCCTATGAATCTGTGACCAGTTCTCTAATATTGCTTTGAATTCTATCCCACCTACCAACAAACAGAAAATTCATTCTGTCATGTAATAATTAATATGTGTAGTATTTATATGTGCAATATGTGTAGTAAAGTGTACTTTATACTTTCAAAACACTTATTGTGCCAGATTTTTTTTTTATAACGTAATAACAACACAAGCCAACAGTTACAGATTGCTTCCTATGTGGCAAATACTGCACTTGTCAAGAATTGTAAAGGGTCTGAGTTTTACCCTATTTAGAGCAACCAAGTCGTCCCGATTTGCCACATAGTTTTACAGACGTTGGCAGAAGACACAAGATCCTGGTCAGAGACAAAGGATAGTTTATTACTCACAGCTCTGGAGGGAGACATTGTCTTTATCATACCGGGCAGTAAGCACGCCTACCCTTTGCTCTGGAGGGAGACAAATCTCTACCTTCCAAAATGGTTCTCTACACAAACGTCCTAGAAAAGACAGTTCAGAACACAAGGCAGTCAGTCAGTGCCTGCCTCTGCTCACAAGACAGGCAGAAATGTGAGAGACCAGGGAGAACTGTCTCCCAACAGTACTGAGCATGCTAAGGGCTTTGTCTACCCCAATCCTGACAAAGCATGAGGTGGGTAATATTAGTAACATCCTCATTTTAAAGAGAAGAAAACCAGTGTTTAGGGAGGTTTAGGGATCTGCCCAAGGGCACACAGCTGGATGCGGTCAGGATTTGAACGTCGGTATCCTGATCTTAAAGTTCTCATTCTCAGCCACCATGTGCATGTCTTATACTGACCTCAGGAAACTAGTGTGATTCCTCCAATTTCACACCAGAGAACACAAAAGCGCAAAGAGATTACTGCCTTGACTTTGTAAGAAGCTTCGAGTCCTGACTAAGTCCCAGATGTGTTAGCCTCCTAATCCAGTACTCCTTCCACCATAACTCATTTCTTCATCCTCTAAAAACATGGAAACATATAGAGCCATGGGTGGCAGCAATAAATACTGTTATCTACAAATCACAGATGTCAAAGCAGCAAGGTCTGGAGTGCAAATGGGCAAAGACCCAACAGCTATAGCACTAACAGTTTCACCCACGCTTTGAAACTTACAAAAATGCGTTAATGATGAAGCAAAATTCTTTTACAAATTAATCCAATGGGTTATATCTAAAAGTTATGTAAACCAGGAAGATATTTTTAAATCCCTCAAAAATAGAATGTTTATGTATTTCAGTTTTGAAATATCTAAGGTCAAAGGTACAACTTTAAAACCTGAACAATCCAAGTGTCATACCAACTAAAACACCAAATAAGCCTTGAACGGTGAAAAAAATAAAACCTGAATAATAATAGTGATCTGAGTCTTGAACACATACATCAGGTGTTTTCTCTTCTGGGGACAAAGGTACAAGAACCCTCTGGAGTTAAACTGTGACTTGTTCTGCATTCCTTCAAGGCAGCACACCAACCACAAGCACGGTAATTTGCATTCATTAATTTAATTTACATAACTATTCTTGGATAGGGGCAAATGAACTTTGCCTTCTCCTTTTTCTAAAAGGGTAATGTTTTCCACGCATCACAGTAGTTGGATTAAACGTGCTATTTTTTGTGAAAAGTCAGCAATAAATTCCTGTACAAAAGTTATTCTGCAGACGATCAACACTTGAAGGCAAAGACCATGCCTTAGTCAACTTTGTGGAGGCAGTGGTGTTGAACAGTTCAAGGGGGAAAGGAAAATCTTTTCAACAAATGGTGCTGGAACAACAGGACATCTGTTTGGGGAAAAAATAAACCTCAACCCCTACCTCACACTATACTCAAAAACTATTTTGAGGTGGATCACAGTCACAAACATAAAAGCAAAGAATAGAAAGCTAAAAACTGCATATAAAAGTTAAAACCATAAAGAAAGTAGAATATCTCTGTGACCTGTAGGTAGGCAAATATTTCTTGGATGGGACACAGAAAGCATTAACTATAAAAGAAAAAAACTGGTAAATCAGATGTCAACAAAATTTACAACTTTCTTGACAAAGATACCATGAAGACAATGTACAGACAAGCCACAGACTTGGAGAAAATATTCATAATGCACATAACTGAGAAAACACTTGTATTCAATAATAAAGAGACAAACAACGTTAAAAAATTATAAAGGAATATGGGGCCAGCCCAGTGGCATAGTGGTTAAGTTCACATGCTCCTCTCTGGCGGCCCTGGGTTCGCAGGTTCGGATCTCGGGCGCGGACCTACACGCGGCTCCTCAAGCCATGCTGTGGCAGCGTCCCACGCGCGAAGTAGAGGAAGATGGGCACAGATGTTAGCTCAGCAACAATCTTCCTCAAGCAAAAAGAGGAAGACTGGCAACAGATGTTAGGGCCAATCTTCCTCACCAAAAAAAAAAAAAATTATAAAGGAATATACCAATGACCAATAAGCAAATGTGTACATGGTGAACACCATTAGTCACTAGGCAAATGCAAATTAAAATCACAACATGACACCACTCTCTGATCCACCCAGCCCCAAGAATGGCTGAAAAAGACTGACAACATCAAGTACTGGTGAGGATATGGAGCAGGTAGGCTGTGATACAGTGCTAGTTAGAGTGTAAAATAGTACAGCCTCTTTGGAAAACCGGCAGTTTCTTAAAAAGTTATATATATAACCATCCTATATATATTCAATCCTAAGAATTTATCCAAGAGAAATGAAAACATGCTACAAAAAGCTTTGCACAAGACTGTGAATAGCAGCTTAACTCATAATAGCTAAAAACTGGAAACAGCCCAGGTGTCCAACAACAGGAGAAAGGATGAATTGGTACATTCATAAAATCGACTACGACTCAGCAATAAGGAACGACCAATACATGCACACGGATGAATCCCAAAAACACAATGCTGAGTGAAAGAAACCAGGCACAAGAGTGCATCTTATATGATTCCATTTATATGAAATTTAGTGCAGACAAATTAACCTATGGTGATAGAAAATAAATGGTGGTTGCCTGGGCTGGGAGGAGACGGACTGAGAAGGGGCCAGGGGAAATTTCCGAGGTGATGAAATTATTCTGTATCTTGATAAGGGTGTGGGTTTTGGGGGTGTATACATTTATCATCACACCCGATTGTACACTTAAGATCCACTGTATGCAAATTATACCCCAATTCCTCAATTACGAAAAAGTTTAAAAGAGAAACGAATGCTATCTCTGGCACAGGGTAAGCCCCAACTATGGGGTTTGTCTCCTCTGTGCCCAGCAAAGGACGGGCACACTCACGGGGACTGAGGAGTATTTGTTGAATTAAATTAATGCCGTTTTAGAAAATTCTGTGGGAATACTCGGGCGCTGCTGCCCTTCAGGCAAACTCCATTCTGAATAGGAGAAGAGCCCAGGTTTACAACTGAACAAATTTGGGCACTAGTGAAAAAAGCACTCAGAAAAGCATTTTATGTCCTCTCCTACTGCAGGCTTTTTCCTCCAAGACAAACACTGTTAGGCCTTACTGAGTCTGCCTGTGTAAACATTTGCTTGTTCTTGAGAAAGACGCCATGGAAATTTACCTGTATTGCAAATCAAAAACGTAATCTGGTTTCAGGGTTAATTTAAATACTTACTTGCAGGACACTAGTTTATGTTTTTATGGATACATTAAAGGACAATATTATTAAGTTGATATTTTTACTCATGCAGAAGAGAGAGGGAGTAAAGGAAAAGCCTTTCCCTAAATTTTTTTTTATTACATAAATACATGATTTAAAGAGATCAGTAAAGTAATGCATATATGAGAAAAATAACTCTGGTGTTATTACATACCATAAATTGCATTACAAAAGAGAGGGGAAGAATGTGGGTTCTGGAACCAAACGGCCTGTATTCATACTCCCGCTCCACCACTAGGTGGTGAGTGAATCTGGGCAAGTGGCTTAACTTGCACCTCATTTCTTCATCTATAAAATGGGGATGAAAGGGTGCTTACCACAGGGTTAACACGAGACTGGAAGAAGCTCTATCTGCACAGTGTAAGAAGCAGGCTGGGCCCTGAGTAAGCGCTCCATCAGTGTTAGCTATTACTGTTACTATTTTAAATAGAACCTCCATCTGCTAACAACAACAAACACAGGACAATAAAATTAAATACAATGTATCCCACGATAATAGTACAAAAAAGTTCTACAGGGCACCTGGAAAAATATCATTGCTACAGTTAACCACTGAGTTCTAGAAAATCTAGAATTAGTTCTCATTACCATATTTTAATGATAAAATTGGAAGACTGAAATATAGTTAAAATAACAAAAGAGCCGAAGTAGAGAAGTCTTTCTTCATAAGACACTTCCATCTCAGTCACAGCTGCTGTGGATTATTGGTGATCTAAAATCATAACCTCAGAGACTGTCCGCCTTGTATTCTAAAGAACTGTCTCATAAAACATCTCATTACGTTCTCATTCCAGCCCTGTGAGCAAGAAGGATTAAGTCTCCCATCTCCGTACTCCAGCTGAGAGAGCGCACGGTTCTGTGTGTGATCCACACGCGTGCCCCAGCCCTCTTCTGAGAGGGCGGCACTTCTTTCCCCTTTTGTTACAAGGTAGGCATGGCTTTGCCAAGGTCACCTGCCACCCACGGCTGGGCATGCTTCAAAATATCTTCCATTATTTATTATCATGTTTATTATCATTATTATAAAAATAATGCATAGTCATGCAGAGCACTTTGAAAATACAGAAAATCAAAAGATGTCCCACTCCCCAAAAAGGACGGTTAACCAACTAGTGTATCTTTTCAGTCTTTTTCTTTGCACATTTTTGAATAATTGTAATCATGCTTTATATACAATTACATACCCTGCTTTTTAAATTTACTGTTATACCAAAAGTTTTCTCATGTTACTGCTTTTAGAGAATCTGAACCCTAAAACATATGTAAAACTGTGGGTAACTCTCCACGGACAATGAAATTTCATAACCCCTTCTCATTTGATCCCTCAGCTCTCATCCAGATTTAACTCACAAGGGAAAAATATTAATGTTCTATAAATTACTTCTTCATGGTAATATTTGCAACTAATCATTACAGAGCTACTTCTAGTAATTTAGTAATTGGATTTATTTTATACTATACATCTTCATTGGGTACTTCTATTAGAACCAAGAACTGCTTCCAAAGAAACTTAGAAAAATATAGAGAGAAATAGAATCTGAATGTTTAAATTAGACAATCTCTAACTACTAGCCTTACTCATAAGGATCAAATTAGCAGCTAAAATAAAGTAAATAAATACTACAGTATAGGTTTACATGATGCCTATCACAGTGTATATAACAAGGACTCCACAACTATTGTTAAATTAAACCGTTTTTTCTCTAGCCTATCCTACAATACTTCCTTTATTCTCTAATCAAAAATGTTTGAAGGACTAGATAAGCAGTGGACAAAACTGCTATATAAGAAAAGCTTACGTGATTTTGCTTCTTTCTATCTGGTTCTTATTACTCATACTTTTAGTCTCATAAGCACCAAAACACATTTACATTTCAACAAAAGCAATGCTAAAACCATTTAAATGCTGTCACAGCATTTTCTTTTTTATCAAAAAAAAATTGCAAATTTATCTTTTAGTTTATTTATACTTTACTTCAGCAAATATTTGAGTATGTGATATTGGTCAGTAGGGATTGCCTGCACAAATTTAGCATCTGGTTGCTTCTCACTCCAAAAGGCTTATTGTCATTTCACTGGACAAACACTTAGTTCTTTCATGCTTCTGAGAAACATAACCTCTTCTGCAGCCATGATGGACATAACTTGTGAACTGACAACAAAGCCTTATTGAGTGAACAAAATTTTAGCAAATCAAACTGATTGACCAAAGCCTCAGGCTTGTGGTTCATACAAAAGGATGAAAGGCCTCCCTGTCCACAGACACCCCTGAGAAGGGTCTCGGTTCACGGACTTCAGTCAGGGAACCACGTTCACTGGCATGCACCACGTGCAGAGCACTGTGCAGAGCACGATGCGGAGATACAAAGAAAGAAGACAGAGGTTTACTGGAAGGAGTGTACATTTAAGAACCCAAGGCTAATACCCATAGAACCTAAACAAAGTGAGGATCAACACATACAAAACTAATCACAGCTAAACTTAGAGACCAAATCCATTAGCAGACCCATTGGAGGCCTGTAAAATAACTGGTGTTTCCACCATTTCTTTTGAGATTAAGAAAATGTGGAAGCTACTTTCCTAACTAATTAAACCACTGCCCCTCATAAAGATGTTGACACCTCTCTCTCACTCCTGAAGAGCCTGATGAAGGGATAAAAAGAGATCAGGGCAAAAGGTTGGGTGTGGCAGAATATGGAGCACTGGTGTGCTCACAAGAATCAGGGCAGGTTGGTAGATTTCGTCATTCAGCTCCAGGCTCTCTAAGAGCAATGGTAGTCTCTCAGCTTATGAGGCCAGCTCCCCTCCCTCCACAAACACACACACAACATTACACCTTACACAGGGTAGACAGGCAAATTGACCTAGCTGATAAAGTACTATACCATCAAAAGGGCAAGTATAGAGTAAGAGACCAAATTCAATAGACATGAAAAGACTGGACAATTGAAGGCACGCAGAGCAAATTATCTGGACCTGAGAAGCCCAGAAACGGGTGAGCTTACCAAGAATAACTCTTCTTGGTGAGAGGTCCAGGCTTCTAGACGATGTAACTAAGTGGGACCAGCTCTCCAGGAAATCTGGCGGCAGCGTTGTTAGTCTGTTGCTTGATAAATCCAAGTAGGCGAGGTTCTTCAGGTACCTGACCGCCTCATTTGGCACACTGGTTATTCTGTTATTGTGCAAATCCAGGGTCCTCAGACGGGGCATGTCCAGCAGAGAGGCCCAAGGGAAAGCAGCCAGAGAATTCCCATCCAAGCGCAACTCATGCAGCTGCCTTAGGTTGTAAAAGCTGCCAGCGTCAAGGCTGGCCACGGAACTGTAAGTCACCCAGAGGTACCGGAGCTCCACCAGGTAGTAGAAGGCCTCGGCGGGGATCCCGTGGATGACGGTCTTCTCTATGCGAAGCTTCACTGTGTCCACGGGGAAGTTCGTAGGGACCTCGTTCATATCCAGGTCGTTACATAGCACCAACCTAGTGTCACAAGAACAGTGGAAGGAAACCTGCTTTCTGAGACTCATTTGAAAAAATAATCCTTATCTGAAACATGCATTAATTTTTCACTCCTTGCTGGTTTTTGCAAAATATCTGTTCAGCCTGGCTAACCTATTCATTAGTAATTTGTCATCATCTTCTTCTTCCAGGTTGAATCACGAAATGGCCATTTTTGTAGGTTACAAATGATCAGATATCAGCAGTTTCATGTGGTTCAACCTTATATTGATGGAGCTCTTTATGGGTCAGGCCTGTGCCACACCCATCACAACCATCCCTTTTGTAATCATCATGGCAGCCCTAGGGGGTAGACGCTGGGTTGCAGGTAGAGGCACCAGCTCTGGAGTCAGGCTGATCTCGGTTCAAATCTAAGCTCTGACGGCTCCTCTGTGGCCGTGAGATTGTGGCCACTTCTCCAATCTCTCAACTTCATTGCCCCATATGAGGTGTTAGGATGACTAATTGAAACAGATATAAAATTTTACACCTTCCTGGCACATAATAAGCACTCAGTGGGTGTTTGCTATTATTATCATCAACCTCATTTTTACAGATGAAATAACGGAGGCCCAGCAACATTAGGTAACTTCCCAAGGTCACACAGCTAGTGGATTACAGAGCCACCCCTCAAACCCACATCCGTCCACTCCAAAGTGCACACTTTCACCTCTCTAGGAAATGACCCACTTTAAGGGAATCCCCTGTTGAAGCTATAAATTGATCCTTTTGAAGAAGATCACTTAATTAAAGAAAGAAAAAAGAGCAAATGTTCACACTACATGCTTAAAGTTAAGCTCTATTTTAACAAGGTGACCCATGCACTGCTTTCAGCCTAAGGAATTAACCAGAAACTTGGAGTTTATTCCTTTTACCACTCACTAACTTAAATTACCTTGAGCAAGTCATGTTGTGATCTTGTTTAGCGGCACGTGGAAAACAGGCATAGAAAAACAAGCCTGCCCCATACGTGGGTGTAAAGTAGGAAGAATCAGAGAATTTGGATTCATTTTAACCTGAAAAAAGACCTATTTATCTCCCGTTATATACTCATCCCCACTAGATGGCTGAAAATTAACAATAAAAAGTTTTGCAAAGCATGATCTAAATTATAATTCATTACACATGTAGTAAATAATAACAATAACACAGCCATTTAGTAAAACACATCACATTAAATCAGTGAATTTTAAAAGCCAGCCTATAATGTAAGAGAAGGAAGCAGCATAAAGCTGCAATGTACTGGTGGCATCATCTCCTTTCTGTAACTTTGGGAGAAGACCCTATGGAATCACTGGAATTCTCTAGGGGCACCTCTTCCTCTTCATCTCTATTCTGTATCACAAATTTCAGTGCTACTTTATACCAGGATGATCCGGTTTCTACTCATTAAGTCAGCATTCCAGTGTGCTGTAATGCAAAAAAGCCTGCACTGGGAGCTAAAAGACCCAGCATCTTATCAGCCAGTCACTGCATCAACTCAACACTGTGACCCTGGACACGTCATTTAGTCTCTATAGGGTTTAGTTTCTTCGTTTATAAAATGACAGTGGTCAAACTAGATTATTTCTAGAATTCTTGCCAGGCATAATATGCTCTGATTTTTATAATATCCATCAATAAAGGGCCACCACGGAGAAGAAAGCATTTCTATGATTGTTTTCTCAAAAGCACCCTAGCCTGAGTCATTAACTGCTGCATATCTTTTGCCAAGTAGGTCTTTAAGTCTTAAGTTCTTCTCACTGTCTTTACCAACCTAGTGAATATCTCAAAAAGATACCAAGAGTTGGTTAAGTAAAGTTTATACAATAACAAAACAAACTACTCAAAAATGTTTTTATTATTTGTTTAAATTTGTAAGACAAATTGGGTGATTCTTTTAACAAATTACTTTTAAGAGTCTCACTGTTCACTTCAACCAAGTCACAAAAAAATCTGATCCTCAAAAAAAAAAAAAGTCTACCATGTTTAGCTAATATGAGTTCTGTTTTACATTTAATTCTATCTAAAGGGATCCACACATATTACAAGTAACTGTTCTCATTTAACAGGTAGACATCAGAGCAACGCAGAGGTTGAATAGCTTCTGAGACCCCAAGGTGCCAGCAGGAGGCAGGGTTGATCTGGATTCTTCAAACTTCTTTTCTTTGTAAACTGCAATATCTTAAAGTGAAAAATTCTAATTATGAAGTTCTCTAACTCTTGTGATGCTCCTTCCTACTTCCTAAGTTCTATCCAGTTGGCATGAATAACTCTCAAAATGAAACAGAAAACCCTGGAAGCAAATGCTCTGGCCTGTCACGGCACCTCCCGATGGGCCCGGCCCTCTTGTGCTTTCTCGAATCTGGCTGAGCTGACCACACACATTTGACCTCCTGAAAGGGATGCTTTGTGACAAGTGCAATTAATATTTTTGTGATACAGAATGTGTCTGAGAGTCTCAAATAATTTGAGGGGCTTTTAAGAGCTAAACCACTCAAAATGAAAACAGTGAAGGAGTGGGCAACCAGTACGAACACAATTAAGCTCAAGCTTATGTAAATGAAACCTCTCCTCTGATTTCTGATGGACAACTTGCTTTCAAAATAAGGCCATCTGGTTTGAGCCCTTTTTCTCGGAATCATCAGAACACTTAGCAAGGAGAGAAGCGTACCTTGATCCCAAGCCGTCGTTTCTGCCCCGATAATCGCAGGAGCACTGAGAAGGACAGGAACAGCTCACTCCTTCCAAAAAGCTAAGCACAACGCACAGAAGTGCAAAGAGACGCATCGCTCCTTCACAGGTTATTTGAACAAAAGGTAAAAACAAAATCCTAAGCATCCAGAAGCTGGTGTGCCAGGAATGTAAACAGCCATTTAGTAACAGCAGATTATACGGGATTAGCCGAGATCTGTAGTTACTTAACCTTCAAGTGTATCTTGCAGGGGGATCAATCGACCTAGCCTGTGAACAGTTTCAGCAACCCACATACAAAATAGAGGAGGACTGGCATAGATGTTAACTCAGGGTGAATCTTCCTCAGCAAAAAAAAAAAATAAAAAATAAAAAATAAAAATATATATATATATATAAAGGGAAATATTACTGAAAACTAATAGAATGCATATAGAAATAATAGAGTCAAAGAATTTGCTCAGTTAAAATAAAACACTGCTGATTTTCAGGTTCTGCACAATTCATCTGCTCATTGAATATTTAGTGAGCACACACTGAACCAAGTACTAGGGCTACAAGGATGAATAAGGCATCTCACGGCACAAACGGACCTCGAATGATAAAGAGAGGCCCAGAGTACTCTTGTGAAGAAGCACACGAGAAGAACATCTACCCTGCCCTGCTGGTCACTTCCTAGGGTGGGTGGTACCTGAGCTGCTCTATAGGATGCATGTCCCCGTAAGAGGGGGAAAATCAGGAAAGCGGCATTGCCAGCAGAGGGAAAAGCAGGAATAAAGGAATGGAATAAAGGAATGGAAGCAAGAAATAGCATGTTGTCCTCAGAGAACTATGAGCACTTCAGCACTGCTCAGGCAAAGGATCTGAGGCAGGAAGTTAAAAAAGAAGGGGAGGAGAAAAAGCTGGAGAAGTGGGCGAAGACGAGGTCACGACGGAAGGGCCGCAGATGCCCTGTTAAGGAGTTTGCACTCAGCCTCTCGGCGAGGAGAGCAATAAAGGTCGAGCCAGGGAGGGGCACATCAGATCACCATTTTCAATAGACTCCTCTGGCACCTGTGTGCAGGAAAGGGTTAGAAAGAGCAAGCAAGGAGGGAGGAGGCTGTGGTTAGAGTCCAGGTGAGCAGCCACAGGGCTGCAACTTGACTGCCACGCTGGGAAGAGTTCAGATAATGCGCCCTCAGGAAACATCTAGGTGGGGAAAATGCTAGCTTAGATGTAGGGGTGAAGAAGGGATTTAAGAACAACCCCAAGGTGATGGGTGGTGTCCCCAGGTGAGTTTGCAAGCACAGGAGGAGGAAGGAATGGGGGAGAGGTAGGTAGAGCTCTGACCACCAATTGACCAAAATAGTTTCTGAATTATTAATTTCATGGATGTTATGACCTACACAGAAGCAAGACATGCCAAATTGAGTATAGAAAAACTATTTAAAGATAAAACATCAGAAATTAGTACCTAAGAGGTTAGAGGGAGCTATGTAACCAAAGCCAGGTCTTCCTAGTCTTATCATATAAGCAAATTACTGTAATTAATTAATGTGATATTAAAATACAATTGCAATTTTAAAGTCCTTTACGCTTGAAGTAAAGTTGCCCCTTGCTTATTGCTGCAAATAAGTTCAAGGCTTTGCAAATTGGAACTCTGAATCAATTTTTGAGACAATGTTACACAGATCATCCCTGCCATTTCCTGGCTCTGCAACTTCGGGTGCACTCTCCCTGTGCTTTCTCTGTAAGTGGCTCAGCTACGAGGGACAGGATGAGCAAAGAGCCAGTGGCACAGGAGCATTCAGACCTCTCTGGAACACTAAACATTTTAATTTGGCCATGGAGAAAGACAAAAAGCTGAAAAGTCCCTTTGGGACCATGCTGAGGAGGGTCATGGAGTTCCAGCTGATGGATTTATCACTTGGCAAGTGATTGAAGGTTTTTGAGCTGAAGATTTTGGGGACCGGAACTTTTTTAAAAAAGATTATTCTAGCTACATATATAATTGATGTATTGATTGCAGTGGAGAAAGGCAGAGGATGAGGAGATAAATTAGGGGATTATTAGAGTAGTTTACCATTCCAAATACACAGAGAATTGAACGTATATAAGACTAATGCCCTGATTTTTCTTAATATGCAGCCAAAGGTGCTAAAGAGACAGTTTACAAAAAGAAAAAATAAAGATAAGAAAGTACAATACGCAAAGATACACAGCCTCACTAGCAGTTAAAGAAATGTGAAATAAAATGAATTTGTTACAGTAAATAGTTTATAGCTTTAAAAAATTAACTATACAGCACTATTAGCAGGAATATGATGGTAAAAGTGTAAGTGCCAATGACAGGGTAAATTAATTCAGTCTTTCCAGAGAGCAAGCTAGCAACAATAATACTGTTTTAATATTTTTATCCAGGAATTCTAGTCTGAAGAAACATTCAAATAGAATAGCCTGTCCCAAAGAAAAAAGGTATTTGTACTAAAATGTTCCCAGTGGTACATCTACGAAACTAAAAATTGTGAAGCAATTTAAATGTCTACTATTTAAACAATGGCATATTATCATGCTCTGCTTAATGGTCATTAAAAATGACAAATGTGAGTATACAAATTCATTCAACATTCAACAAATATTTATTTATTGAGTGCCTACTATGTGCCAGGCAACATGGGTCTACAAGCTAAGGATACATCAATGAAGAAACGTACAGCTAATCAACGGGCGTCAAGTTTCAGTTAAGCAAGATGAGTAAGTTCTAGGGATCTGCTGCACACATTGTACCTATAGGTACCAATACTGTACTGTACACTTAAAACTTTGTTAAGATGGTAGATCTCATGTTAAGTGTTCTTACCATAGTAAAATAAAATTCAGCCAAACAAAAAAGCTAGGGGAAAAAAAGAACAAACATACAAGAACCCCCACTTCAATTAAAGTTAATTGTAGTGACAAATATATGGAAATACATATACAAAAAAATAGTAATTAAAAATGCAAAATACATAGTAATATGAAGAGAGATTATATTGCTATATAAAATATATATGTGCACTGACTGACGTGATTTAGATGCAATAGTGTTTAATGTTCATTTGATTATTTTTGTTAAATAGTACAAGTTAATAGTTGCATTAAAATTTTAAAATTGTGAAATACTAAAAATGTCTTCCATTCTACCTGGGAATATACAACAACTCATTTCAGTAATTATTTGTTGAAGATTATTAACTATTATTATTATCATTAATTTATTCTATCATTAAAATGGCAGTACCTCCACTCTAACAGAGGACCCAGGCTAGTTACCAGGTCATGGATACCTCGTTACCGTGGATACAGTGTAACACATGCCATCAGAGGAAGAAGAGAAGGGGCCTTAGTGTCATGGGCCTGGATTCATCAAAGGAGATGAGCAGTAAGTTTACACATAAGGAAATAGACATTCACTACAGTGGGCCATGTACAAACCCAACTCTAAGCTGCATTTGAAGAATTTACAATCTAATAGGACAATAATCTATGTCTGTATTTGATCTAAATGGGCTCATATTTAAAACCAAATTAAACCATTGCAAAAAAAAAGGAAATAAAATGTTTTGATAATGTATGCTTTCCTCTTATTTCAGATTCTTCCAGAAGCCAATGGGTTTTGAGGTGCATCCATTGGTAAAGCACTCGTCACAGACATTGCTTGGTAAGCCTGACATTTGAACATGGCAAACATTGCCCTCCGAAACCTGTAATAAAAAAGGGAAAACCCAGCATTATCCTATAATGACTGGAACTTTTAAAGCACTTTCAAATATAGCTAAGATGCCACTACTGTCAACTGAATCTCCAAATAAATTTCTGCCTCCAACTTTAACATCTGTTGAGAACCTTTATAAATGTATAAAGTGTATGTTACAGTTAAAGACCAGTTTTGCACCCTTGATTATAAACACTGAAGACATTTAATAAAAATTGACAATTGTACGTTTAAAGTAACACTTCTAATGGCAATTGCAATGATTTATTTATTTGAACTAAGGATGTGTATTTCATGCATCTGTTCTTCTGAGCAAAGGCCAGTTGAGATTAAGAGGAACTTGAGAATGACTGACCTTTCCAAAAGAACTACCAATAGACTCTGAATTAAAAATATGTTCTTTATTCTTCTTATGTCGCCTGTTTGGTCTTGAAAGTTTTTATGCTTCCTCACATACCTGTAGCTAAAGCTGCTCTCCCAAACATGTACAGAAATACATAAGTTTAATAAAAGCAGCACTGGCATTCCAGGATCAGATTGCCTGACCTCCACTGAGATTTTTCTGGTCAAATATGTAAGCACAGCGGATCAGTTCATCCCATCTTTCAGCAGTTAACAGAAAATGAAATAATCTAAGCTTCACTGAGGAGGCAGAAGAAACATCCTTGCTGAGAGTTCCCACAAAGGGAGAGGGGGGTTTCTCTCTATTATCCTGAATGACTACCCACTCCTGAAGCCCTTTATACTTAGCACTGGATTTTTCTCTTGCATTTGAATAATACGTCTTCTTTCTAGTAAATATACAACTATGCTACCTACTTAGGGAGCCCAACATTGCCTTATCTTGTCTGTTTTCTGGTAACAGAACCACACTTTTCTTTGGAAAACCAATTCCATATGTTTTAGTTGGGGTAACCATGTGAACCAAGGTTTTCTTTTCTGCCAGAGAGCCATGGGAGATGAAACTCGCATTTGGGGGTGCTTAGCTAGTAGAACTTGGGTCTTGGGTTGCCTGTGATCATTTCACCACCATGTGGGAAGAGCCTGTCATAGAAATCGAGCCCTAGACATTTAAGATCCTAGATGCTTCTCCAGTTGCATGAGCCAAATAACTTTTACACTAATTTGAAGTGAGTTCCTGTCACTTCCCAAAAAGTCTTAGAACATTAGCCATTGTCTTTTTAACATTCTTTCTGTATCCACTTTTTAATTCAGAAGCATTTCAGACATTACTTACTTTTTATTTGCAACTACATAAATACAGGGATTGTAGAACGTAGAAGATTTTGCAAACAGTGGAGCTATGATGGCCATTGAGGGAGGAATCTTCTTTGGGTCACCGAAAGAGGCCCATAAGCACACAATAGAATAAGGGGACCACGCCACCAGAAACATAAATATCATTATCACAGACATCTGTAACAGAAATCAACATTCACCAAACCCGATATCTAAAATATTTAAATAGCTAATACATCTAAAATTGCATGAAAAATTATCTAGTTTGGAACTTGAATCAGTTTATGTGGTTGATGACATATGGAAAAACTGAACTTTCCCTTCATTGTACTTTGCTTATATGCCTGAAGTCATTCATGGTAACGAGAGCTCATGAGACGGATAGAATGTCACGCACATGTAAAGAATGCCTCCTTCCTTGCCGTGCGCAAGGGGAGAAGACAAAGCTGGCTTTGCTGAGAGGCAGACGAACCCGCTCCTAACCCGTTTCTAGTAATTGTGCTATGGACTGCTGGCACACGCTTTTTTTTCCCACTGTCATTATCTGCCAATCTAAAAAATAACTTTCTAAGTTTCTAAACTCAATCTGGAAAAAAATAAAATCCTATATGGAGCTCAATGAATTATAATACAGACAATCTGAGCTCAATATATAATGTGCACAGGGCAGGTGGTTTGGTAAAGAAGCTCTCCTCGCCTCTCGTTTAAATGACAAATTATAATTTTTACGTTGCTCCCTCCTGATTGTCCACTCAAATTATGGAAAAGAGGTTTAAGAAGACATAAACCCATAAGGACTGAGAATCACAGATTAGACAATAGCTCTGTAAAAATTAAAACTGAGTAACCGTTGGACAAGTGGCAAATTACTCATCAGACATGAGAATGATTTTAAAATAAATATAAATTTTTAAAAAGAGTCAGCCGTAAGGGAAAACCAGATACAGACTAATCCATTTCACAGAACTACAGAAAGTCCCTGGAATTGGAGGCAACAGCTAGCTCTGAATGTGGGGCTGCACGTGGAACTTAAAACAAGAGAACTTGTTGACATCAGCAACAGGAAGCAGGTAGACTTCGGAATCCCCTCTCCACTCAGCCAGGCAACTGCCCTTCCTCTCCTGGAAGAATCCCACAGGGTCAGCGTAAGAGAGGGTCAAGCGGAGGACTCAGGACGGGGGGACACTGGGCTCAACCGAGAGCTGGGTCCTGTACTCAAAAGAGGGTGCTGCACGCTATCCCCCTCCCCTGTGCTGAGCTGGGAGAATACAGGTCGACAGACTTGTACATCCACCCAGGAACGTGAAAGAACGTTCTCCTTGGAAACTGACCAGCCCAGAGGAAAATCCCCCCCAAAAGAAACATCCCAGAGAAAGAGCACGTCCTGAGCTTACAATCAGCTTGTTAGTGCATCACTGTGACATAGTCGGGGACAGTCACTGACCACCAGACATGGAGGACACGCTCACTGACAAGCAGGACCAGAATAGTGCAGGAAGTCAGGGGAAACAAAAGATACGTGATGAACAGAAGGAAAATGTAAATATATACATAATACCATCACAGAAATGAGAGAAGATATCCATCCATTAAACAAGAAGAGGCTGTTGAAAGGAGTATAGAGTATACAGCCACACTTTGATCTATAAAAAATGGTTGCTGTCCCCTCTATAAAAGTGAGAGCAGAATTTTTAAAATGCCACAGGCAGGCTGGAAGATCCAGTCAACCAGGACTGGGCGAGGTAAATGAAGTGAGTGGTGCGAGTGCACGGTCAGATCTTGTCCTCATTTAAAATTTTATATTTTGTTCAATATGGAATTTTTACATTAGATTTTTTTAAATACCGCATTAAATACCTCTCTCTTTTTTTTGATTACTAAGTTTTTTAGTGCCTGCTTAAATTGTACAACCAAGGTTTGAGCCTCACTCCCTTCCCCCAATCCCAGACCTGGACATGGTTGAGGAAAGCTCTCAGAAAGCAGAAACAAAGACAAACAAACAAAAAACAGAGACAATGTGGGAGAGAATATTTAAGCAAATTAGAAGATAAATCTAGGAGATTAAATATCCAAATAAAAGGAGTTCCAGGAAAAGAAAACAGAGAAAATAAAGAGAGAGGTGGGACTCACCAGAGAAATAATGCAAGGACTCTCCCAGAAGGGAAGACCTGGGTCTCCACGTGGAACTCACTCACCAAGTACCAGCACACGGGTAAAAAAAGACCCGCACCAAGGTACATCAGCATGACATGTCAGAAGACGGGAGACACAGAGAGGATCTACAAGCTTCCAGAGAGAACACACAGATCACTACAGAGGGTTGTCACCAGAATGCTGTCAGCCTTTGCAGTCGCAACACCAGAAGCCAGGAGACCACAGAGCAATGCCTGCAAAATTCTTTGAAAATCATTTCTCTATTTAGAATTTTATACCAGGCAGTCAAATATGATAGTAGAATTAAGACATTTCCAGGCACGCAAAATCTTTAAAAAATTACCTCCCTGTAACCTTCTCAGGAATCTACTTGAGAATGTGCTCCACCAAATGAGGGAGTAAACCAAGAAAAAGGAAGATGTGCAATCCAGAAAACAGGTGATCTCACCCAGGAGAGAGGCCAAAGGCATTCCCAGCTGGTGAGGAGGGAGGTCTGAGGAGGCCGGCTTTCCGGCCAGTGGTCTCAGAGAGCAGACGGAGCAAGAGGGCAAGGGTGCCGGGAGGATACTTCCAGGAAAAGGACAAAGTCAATCTAGTCTCTGGTGCATCTGAAAATCCCGAGAGGAGACGGATGCTTCTGGTGGAGTTTAGAGATGAGCTAGTGACAGGTACAGAGAACAGCAGGCAAAGGAAACTACAGCGAGTGAGAGAGAGGGAGCAGAGAGGGGGAGAGAGAGGGAAGGAGGAAGAGAAGGAAAGAGAAAATGAATAAATTATGAACTCCAAGGGGGAAAAGTTGTATAAACAAAGAGATACACATCATAGAACCCTACAGAGATCTGCAGTCAATAAAATTTAGATAATCACAACAGAGTAAAATTGACTCTTCATCTACCCAAATATTGTTAGCATTAAACTGACAAGATGAGGAGAGAGGAAGGTGGGTTGAGAGGAGTAGGAAAGGTTGGCAGGATAAGAGAAATAATCTCCATTGTCCGTAATAGGAAATCAAGACGTAATAGCAAACAAAAACATCCAAGCAGCAGATAAGCACATGGTTTAGAAATAATGGAAGCAAACACCAGAAGGAGGAGCCAGAGAGCAAGAACCGGGGTCAAGGAGAGGCAACTGCGGGGCCAAGGGACCAGGCATGCGTGAAAGCCCCATTACCCAAGCTTCTGAGGATTTCGATGTCGTACCTTTGTTACATCCACCTGATCTGACCAATCTCTGCTGAGGGACTGAGTGCAGTTACCAGCAGTGTGACGCTTCATGGACCGAGTGACGTGGGAATAGCAGTAAAACATCACCGTCAAGGGCACGATGAAGTTTATCACAACAACTGCCATCGTGTAAGAAACAAAAGATCTGAAAATAAGAAAGAGAATCTTGGCCACCCGTTTCATTCCTAAACAGAGGAAGGGAAACGGGATAATTGTTAGAAATAATACTGCACTGTCCAGCAGTCATTACATTATTAAATGGCTTGGGAAGTGTATTTGACTGTTAGTTCATTTAGAGTAGGGACTGGCAAACCATGGCCTCTGGACCAAATCCAGCCTGACGCCTATCTTTGTAAATAAAATTTTATTGGAACCACATTCACTTACTGCATGTTCATTTACATACCGTCATCTGTGGCTGCTTTCACAGGCAGAGTTGAATAGTTTCGACCAAGACAGTCTGGCCTGTAAAGCCTAAAATACTTACTTTTTGACCCTTTACAGAAAAAGTCTGAGATTTAGACATTTTTGTTTTTCTGAGTAATCCTTAATTTCCATTAACAAACTAAAGGATCCTCTTTTCCCTGGTAAATACAGAGGAGCATCACCACCTAGCCAGCAAATCCTTACAGGGACCATGCTCTTGCAGCGTATTCTCAGAAGACGCTTCATCACCACATCACCTTGCAGACATAGAGGGAGTCAGCCTGGGCTTTCTCAGGAACTGCGTGCTGTCTGGCAATGCTAACATTTCCTTTCCCCTCAGGTCCTACCTCTGAGGGGCAAACATCAGAAGGATGCTCTGTAGCCACCCTACTGCCAGAGGAGAGAAAGGAAGGGACAGGGGATGGGGGACTAGGGGAGTGGGTGGCCTTTACTTGCAGACCAGCCTAATTCACTTTTTTCAACTTCATCTCTGCTGGAATCATAGCATCACCACCAAGGGAGCCCTTTGCCACACTCTGTGTGAGAAACTTTCCATCTGAGCTTAAATTGGAAGCGGTGAGAGAATGCTGACATTAGAAGAGTTTGATTACAAAGTGTAGACGTGTCTCTTACGCATCATTTTTCCTCCAGTTTATGGTGCAGGTGGCCCCAGTGGGATCCGGGGCGTAACCAGCCCACCCTGTGATTGGCATTAAAGCCCAGAAGAGGCCATTGACCCAGGCCCCCAGGATCATGCTGGTGTAAGTGCTGGTGGTCATTCTCCTTCCTATTAACAAACATAGGAAATATTAGCTTCATTTGCCAATGATGGAATTCATATCTTCACTTTGTTTTAACTGATTATTCAAAGTTGTTATCAAGCAGATTCTCTACAGAGCACTCTGGTTGACTCAAAGCCTGTCTACATGAATTTACAGTCTGAAAACAAAAAAAAAAGGCATGTAAGCAAAGACCTGAATGATAAAAAGGATCAGCCAGAGGATAAGCAGGGAGAAGTACTTTCCAGGGCCAAGGAACCAGCATTTACAAAGACCCCACAGCGGGAAACGGCTTGGCCAGTACCCCAAATGAGAGGGCCCTCGCCAGAGCTGGAAAGGTAGCCAGGGGCCCAATCACACAGGGCCTTGGAGGCTGTGTTATGAAATTTGGATTTTATTCTAAGTATTACAGGAAATCATTGAAACTTTTGAGCAAGAATTGTCTGAGAAATAAGACTGACCATGACTGCAACCCATTGCATTCATATTTTAAAGTGAACCTGTGTTGAGTGGTCCTTAGGCAAGAAGCGGATCCACTGAGAAGGCAGAGAAGAGTGCCGTACCTGCGTCCGGATGGCAGATGGTCAAGTATCGATCCACGGCCACGACTGTGAGCAATCCAATGCTTGCCATCCCAAAAAAGATATTCAATCCAGCATAAATCTGAAATCAAAAGTGGGAAGAATCCCCCATTCTAAACATCCTCCCAAGAGACATTTACATTTTTATCCCATTGCTAGAATATATTTTTAGATACTTTGAATATTTTTTATTTTACTAATTTTAAAATACATCTTCCATTGTAAAATTGTAACTGGTTTAATAAAGGCATTTATGGAAAGTGTTTTGGGACTTCATTAATTAAAATAAACTTTAAAAAAATTTTTAACACTTAAAGTAAAACTTCTATACAACATACTCTATAATAAGCCATAAATTAGGTGCAATGCATACATATAACCAATAAAAGATTAGTATTCAGAAGACAGACAATTCAATAAGGGGAAAAGACAAACAGAAAATGGGCTATTCATATGAGAGGAAACCTGAATGCTTATGACATAAGAAAAGATGTAAACCATATTACGTATTCAAAAAAAGGCAAATTATAAGATACCATTTTACATCCATCAAAATGATAAACATTTAAAAGTATGACAATCCCAAGCACTGGGGACAATGTGGAGTAACAGAAGTTCTCATAATTGGCATAACCATTTTGGAGAGCAATTTGGCCACACGTGATAAAGTTGAAGACGAACACTCTCTACAACCCAACCATTCCTCTCCTTTGTAGGAGACACGTATAAGAACATTTACGGAAACCCTGTTTGTTACAGAACAACACTGGGAACAAATGCTCAATAACAGGAAAATGGGTAAGTATGCTGTGGTCTGTTCATAAAATGGAATATCACGTAGCAGTTAAAATGAACGACTTACAGCTACATCCATCAACATGGATAAATCTCAAAACCATAGTATCGAGTAATGAAAGGAAACTGCATAATGCAAGCAAAATGATCTTACTTATACAAAGTTTTGAACATTCAGGCAGTATCTAGTTTATGTACATATAAATATGTAGTAAGATAGAAAAACATTCAGGGGACAGAAGGGAATAAGACTGGGGATAGTATGCAATGGCCTTCAATAGTATCTGTAAAGTTTTATATCTTTAAAAACAACTTTAAGCACACATCGCAAAACATTAAGATTTGACAAAACTGGTTGGTGGATACATGGATATTCATTATTCTCTGCTACTATTTTATTTTCTATAATTTTATAGCTTAAAATAGTAAATTATTTAAAAATTAGGCTAAAATACATATTTGCCTACTATTCTAATGCAAATTAATACTAATTTATTTCCTTGTCAGTAAAAATAGATATATTTAATAGCAATTCTCATGGAGGACTTTCCATAGAAAAAAACCAACAACTTGGTAGCTTAACCATATTCCTTAGATATTATGATACAGTCATTAAATATTTCATTGTTTCAAACGCAAACAGTATATTTCTTTTTGAATTTGCAATATTCAATTTTTCACTTTTCTTCTCTAGTTGAATGCTAATTGTTTTGTTTGTTTTTTCCTTTGGGTTGAGGAAATTTTAAAAATATAAAGATGGCTAGTGATTTCATTTCTCTTATTAAAGAATTTATTTCCGGGGCCGGCCTGGTGGTGCAAGAGGTTAAGTGTGCGCGCTCTGCTGCGGCGGCCCGGGATTCGCCGGTTTGGATCCCAGGCGCGCACCGACGCACTGCTTGTAGAGCCATGCTGTGGCGGTATCCCATATAAAGAAGAGGAAGTATGGGCACGTATGTTAGCTCAAGGCCAATATTCCTCAGCAAAAAGAGGAGGATTGGCATCAGATGTTAGCTCAATGTTGATCTTCCTCACAAAAAAAAAAAAAAGAACCAATTTCCCAGTCACTCCTGGAGCGGTTTTCAATAAGTGCACTATATTTAGTATCTAAATTATCTTATTTGATTGAAACTCTTGGGATTTTTTTAGACATTTAAATTTACATCTCTTTAATCTGCTTTATTTTGCTTTCATTCCAAAGATCTGCAATACCTGACATCCTGCATATCCAAATTTCCAGCGTCCATACAGATCTGAAGCAGCAGACATAGGATAGCCAATGCTACTGACCCCTATGTCAGTAACAGCCAGGTTAATGATAATCGCATTTGTGGGTGTCCGAAGTTCCTTGTACTTAATGAAGATGCCCAGAACTATTATGTTGCTGAGAATACTTATTATACCTGAGAACATATACAAAAAAAGTCATATTTGGTTTCATTTGAATTTTTAAAAGTAGAATCAAAATTAAATATTTAAGCCCCTTCAAAAACATAGCAAATCCGTTTTAATTCATTTATTTGAAGAGCTCCAGTGTCCTTAAAACTAGTTTTAACATCTTGACAGCCCTTCTGTGGAAGAAATTAAAACACAACGAATCTGCCAGTTGCATAAACTAGCACTGAAGGCTGGTTTTAATGCCATCACTATTAATCACTTTGTCCCTGAAATTCCTCTCTTCCCTTTCATGATACCACCCCTGCTGATTTCTAGGATATAAGTATGCCCATACCATCTCTTTCGGCAGCTGAACTTCCTTCGCCTCCTTCCTGAGGTCTGAGGCTCTTCTTTAGTTTCCTTTCTCAAGCCCCAACTGTTATTCTGTCCTAACAGCACTTCTGTCACTATTTCCACCCCTGACCCATGCTCATGTCACATCCCTTTTCTCTCAACACATTGCTATTAAACATTTATTAAGCATCTATCAAGCATCTATCATGTGTAAGATCATATGACTGTTCCAATATGTCCAAATCTGAGTTCTTCATCCAACACACACACACCCCTATAGAAGAATGCACACTGCAAGGTCTAGCTACCCAGAGAGGAAGCCGAGCTGGCTTTCAGGTCCACTGAGAAGGCTTACAAGTGATATCACCCTAGTCAAGTTTCCGCAGTCTGGGATCTGACTCTCAGCCTTGCAGGTCCAGAAGCTCAATGTTGTTGGTGCCCCAGAATTGGCGGGACTCAGGTAGATTAAGGACTGAAATTCTTACTCAGAATACCAATAAATTAATTTGCAACGAGAAATATTACTGAGTGAACCAGATGTGCATATTCGCCTGATTAACACTCTCTACATGCTACAAAGGATGCACAAGTTTCCCATCAGCCAGATGAAGGCTATACTAAGTCCTCACGGGGTGGCGGGGGTGGGGTGGGGTGGTGGCGGCGTGTAGCAGTTGTTGGAGAGAGGGAAGGTTTCCAAGTACCAACACACAGAAGTATCAGCAAAGGAGGAAATTCTGTTATATCTTGGCACCTCGGTCAGAACTTCCGTTTAGCATCCTGTTACACTAATCTTCCAGATTCCTGTTCTTCCCCGCTCCATGCTGCTGGCAGAATAAGCTTATAACAACATAGAATTAACCACGGCTCTTCTCCTCCTCAAACCTTCCAATACTCCCCACTGTCTCTGGGATAAAAGTCCACGTGTCCCAACCCAATATTCCAGACTCTCTGCCTCAATCTGTTTTCACCCTCTCTCAGCAAATTTCCACACTTGTCAAACAAGCCCTCCATTCTAGTTATTTATCAAATACACCAGGCTTGTTGTAAATTTTGACTCATATTTCTCCCACTTAGAACACTTTACTCCTTTCATCTACCTATCCAAATACTACCCACCCTTCAAAGTTCTGTCCAAGTTCAATTCTGTCCCAAAGCCTTCCTCACACGATACTCTCTCCTCCAAATTCCCAAAGTACTTGCTTATATTATATTTAATCTTATGTGATGTATGTTATTTAACTCTCATGCATTCCTAGTCTTCCCATGCAGATTTCAGGCTCCTAATGATTTCTATGTTCGAGTATGTGACATATAGATTTATTTACTAAATGGACCACAAAACTCAAATTACTTAATTTCTATTATTCCTGCAAGCATAATTAAGGCACAATGATGGCAAATTTGATGGTTCTTAGGCTCTATTTTTAGCTTCTAGTATTGTAGCATGTGTACAAGAAATACTCCAAAAAACTTAATGAATTAAAGAATCTTTCTGGGCTAACTTAAAATTTGATGATTTAAAAAGTCAGATAAAAACACAGTGCAGGGGCAGGCCCAGTGGCGTGGTGGTCGGGTTCGCGTGCTCCGCTTCAGCAGTCCAGGGTTTGTGGGTTCGGTCCCGGGCGTGGACCAACACACCACTTATCAAGCCATGCTGTGGCAGCATCCCACACACAAAATAGAGGAAGATGGGCACAGATGTTAGCTCAGGGACACTCTTCCTCAGCAAAAAGAGGAGGACTGGCAATGGATCTCAGCTCAGAGCCAGTCTTCCTCAGAAAAAAAAAAATCACAGTGCGGTAAACTGCTGCCTACCAAGCGCGCAACCAGAATAAAGTAACTGTATGTTTGGGGAGGTCTTGGATATAACTGGGGGAATGAAGTAAACAACTCAGCCCTCCTCTTGGTCGGCAGCTGCCTCACGCATGCTGCTTTATTTCCCCAGCTGTAGGCGTTTTCTCGTGAGTACACAACAGATCATTTAATAGTTATATATAAGTTACTTCCCCCTTGGCTTCTGCGGCTTTCCTCCAATCTGTTGGGCAGATCCTTCTTAATCTACTTCCCAGTCTTTCTTTCTTCATCTACCTTATCAAATATGCGCATTGCCCAAGTTTCTGTCCTAGACCTCCTTTCTTTTCACATTCAACACGTACTCTAAGTGATTCCATACATATCCAAGGCTGTATGCTGGTACTTTCCAGGTCAGTCTCATAAAATTCAAACCCATGTGCCCAGCTTTTTACTGGACATCTCTCAAACTGAACCCAGAGACTTCTCCTCCTGCCCCAAACTATTTCTTCCCCTACCTTGGTGAACAGCTTCACCATCTATCCAGGAGCCAAAAAAAGAAACCTGCTTGTCATCTTTGGTGCTCCCTCTCCTTCTCCTCCAATCTCCATATCCAACCATCAATTCTAACTTCCAGCTCTTAAATGCTTCTGCTTTTCCTTTCCCACCCCCTCCTCAGGATCCTTCTTAATCCTTTTTGTGTGTGTGAGGAAGATCTGCCCTGAGCTAACAGCTGCCAATCCTCCTCTTTTTGCTGAGGAAGACTGGCCCTGGGCTAACACCCACGCCCATCTTCCTCCACTTTATACGGGACGCACCACAGCCTGGCTTGACAAGTGGTGCGTCGGTGCGTGCCCCGGATCTGAACCGCCGAACCCCAGGCCGCCGCAGCAGAGCGTGCGCACCTAACCGCGGCGCCACCGGGCCGGCCCCCTGGATCCTTCTTAATCTTGATCACACAGGGGCCTCCTACGTGGTCTCTTAGCTACCACTACAGCACATTTCCAAAATGCAAACTGGATCATGTCATTCAGTGACTCCCTATCACCTTGACAACTTATGTGGTTCTTCATTACCTGGTACGCAGTCATCCTCCTCAGCCTAGTATCTCTCACCCTTCGTTTTACAATTCACCCATAGTCAATTTATTTCAGATCTTTAATTCACCAAGCCCTCTGCCCTCCCAGCCTTAACTGGAGAAAGGGAGAGTGCTCAAATTGGTAAAAGTTTGTTAAGAGCTAAAATCTAAGAGAACTATGAATTTTAAAATGAAAAATCTAAATAGGCTAGTGGTAAAAGTAACAAATGTAGTAAACGCTTTGACTGAATTCTTTTCCTCACAGTTTTGGTTTTGATTTGGAAGTTTAAGTGGGTTTTGTTAAAGGGGGAATCTTAGGGCACCTAAAGAACAATAGACGTTTGAACAAAAGCATAAAGAGCTTAGCCATGCTGCCTTCAGGTATTCCTTGATAAAACCGACCCTGTGGTTTTATGTGAGGGCTCCAAAACCAAAATGCCTGAGTTCAGATCCCGCTGTAGCTACTAAGTAGATGTGTGTGTTCGACAAGTTACGTAAACTCCTCACCTGTATAAATGAGGAAAATAAAATTAATTCACTTAATTAACTTAAGGATGAATTCTTCTGTGTGTGTATTTAGAACATTGCCTGGTATACACCAAGTGTTCAAATAATAACATTAGCAGCTGCAGTAGCAATAATAAGATTACTATAATTATTACTGTTACAGGGATAAGAACCAGAGAGAACATTTTCTCAACAGGAAATTTTCTTCGCATGCTGTTTTTGTAACCAGATCAAAAAAAGATAGCTTTTCTTGGTCATCTGCAAAAAACTAACTAAACCAAAAGTTTGTGAATAAAGTATTTCCATGTAATTGTAATAAGGAGATTTTCTCTTTAAGTAGCATATTGTTTTCTCATTTGGTTGCAACAAAAAAACAATCAAAAAGATAACAGAACTTATCCAGTACTTATCATACAGAAAAGTTAGCAGGTCACTAAAATTTACAAAAATTAACTGAGGAATCACAATTTCTAGCGCAAAATACTATAACTGTGAATTATGGGGAAACTAAGCAACCATAAAGAATAAACTGGGTACAGGAGGATTTGTTATACTTTTCACTCTACTTTTGAATATACTTGAAAATTTTCATAAGTCAATCCAAAAAATAATAAACCCAACATAATAAAGAGTTACTTCTAAAACTCATTACTGAGCATAAAGTTGGAAATGAAGTGACTGCTCAGTATAAAATTTACACCACAATTCAACCTACACATAGAAAAGATAATCAGAGAACTTCTATTGTCATTTCCCCCATCCCTTTTTTTGGGCCAACAACCCTTCATCTTGATCCAATATATGCATCAATGTGTGTGTATGTGGGGAAAAAGAAACAGACATTTGTCAAACACCTACTGTATGTGTCACTTAGGTGCATTTATGTGTCATTTAATTTTACTCTACACAACAATCGTGACAGGTAGCTTATTCTTACTCCAATCTTGCTCCCTTAAAGATATTAAAAGATGAAATGCAAAGCTCAACAGTTTCCCAACCAGCATTCCAGAATAAGCTGAATGTTCAAACTCTGTCTTCAATGACAATAAACTCTGCTCTCTCTTTTCAAGACTTTAATGTTCTTTCCAGGACCTTCCATCTTAACTAGATTCCACCATCAAAGACAAAACTACGAAAACTATGTATGAGAATAGTAAATGACATAAAAATACATTTTTGCCATGGTACACATTCTTCCCCAATTAAAACTTAATTTGACAATGTAATAACCATTGTATAGAAAACTGTTCTCAGCCCCACTTCACTGCTCTCATACTGTTTATCAAGATTCAAAAAAACTTGTGACATGAACTACCATTAACAATGCTTTCATTTATCCTTCCACCTACATTCTTATTTGATCTTTACAGCCAGGCAATAGAGCAAATATTATCATCCTTATTTACCACACGGGCACCCCAACTCAGAAAGGATAAGCGACTTGCCGAGGATGGCCAACAACAAGGAACTTGAAACATTATCTCTGAACCCATGCTTTTCCTACTGCCTTATGCTGAAAACCTCTGCCATTCCTCACCCATTCGAAAGCAAAATAACTGTTAATGGAGTAATTAAACATCCATACCTGCCATAATCAAGTAAGTTGCAACAATATTGTGTTCAGTCTGTGAAAACACCGAGCCATCTTCATTTTTAGAGTCTGAACTGTTGCCTAAATTATTCCTTAGCATTTTGGAGGGAAGATACTGAGGCAGCCTTCATAATGAGCCTTCAATAATTATGAAATGTTGTCAGAGGCACTTGAGGGAAAAATTTTCAGAACCAATCATTTCCACTTAAAGACCTCAAAGAAGGTCCTTTTCATAGAGGCCCTCCCTTAACAAATTTAATTGGGCTAAAGAGGAAAGGATTTTATTTCCCAGAACATGGGAAAAGCTTATTAGCAAAATAAAGAGAAATACCAAGCATCACAGAGTTTAGCCAATTTGGGCATCAGTCTTATATCTAAGGAGATTATCAAGTATACACACCCCATTTAAACAATAAACCAACTCAGAAAATCAGTGGAGGAGCTGACTTAACTGATTTTTGCTGGAAAACCATTCTGAAATTAAGAGCCAGCCTTAGTCCTCTAAACCATTCAGATTAAGGTCTCTGTTTTCTGTTGACCCTTTCAAGTTTTTCCATTTCAGTCCCTGTTTTCTATAACAATTTTAAAAGAGAGAAAGACGTAATCTCCCTCTGTCATTCCAAATCTCACTCCCCTAAAGGTAGTGTTTGGTGTATACCATTTCTGCTTTTCTTTGCTTATACAAACATATATCCATATAAGGGTTTGAGATTTCCCCCACTTTTTTTTCTTTTAAACAAAAACGGGGAGATATGTATACATAAAATCATTCTGTAACTTGTTTTCCCCTAAAGTCATATCATAAATTCCAGGTCAATAAACCTAAGCCAAACCTATTAATAGCTATAATTTATATTGCATAGCATGAATAAAGCTTGATCTACTTCACAACCCACCTCAGGTAATTTATCCTACACTTTGCTATGCACAAATAATTATCTGATAATAATAATCACAGCATATACCAGCAAAGTATCTGGATTCATGCATTCATCTTGTCAAGTACATGGCAATTCTAATATTCTGGACTATCTTGGTATAATTCCAAGTGGGTTACAATCTACCATGAACATTTATTGTTAGAATAAGATATCCCTACCACCTTTTCCCCATATTCTTTATGTCATGTAATATTATTGAAGTCTGATTCTTCTCCACAGTGAATTTCTTAAAATCAGTAACTTTAAAGAAATGCTAGCTGCACCAAAGTTAAGTGTAAGGATATAACAGAACCACTAGAGGGCTATATTTACCCACTTAATTTAATTCTATAAATCTTACCAGGGCACAGCAAGAAAAGACTCAAGATAATCCTTTACCTCAACTCTCTCAGCTACATATAAACAGAGGTTGAACCAGGTGGCTGCTGTGTCCCAGACCCTACAGCTACCAGTACTGAAATATTTTTAAACGTAAAGTCATACTCCAAAGAGTATCTATACTAAGAAAGTCAACCTCATCAGTATCCCAGCATCAAAATATTTTCCAATGACCCTAAAGCAACAAACATAATACCTAAGTGGAACTCTCCCTTTGAAAAATCTATGGGTCATTGGGTTTGAAATCTTTCTTTTTCTTTTTTTCTTTTGCATTCAGTATGCAGAATAAAACAAAAATTTTTTGTTTGCTTTAGTTCACAGTCCCTTGCTTTTCTGTAATGAATTTTACCTAGTTGTAGCATCCATTTAAATTTTCCAGAAATAATTATTTCTAAGAACTGAAGAAAAATAATCCCCAAGATGGCCTGCTATCTGCTGCAGATAACAGTTTTACAGATATGTGTGTGGTAGGTGCATTCAAAGTACTTTTTCATGCTTCCTCAATGAGTGATACAGAAAAGCTAATTGGGATGAGGCTTAGAATACCAAGAAATACAAGCATATCATATTTACATAGCTCACGATTCTCTAATTTCCTAAACTTCAAGTGGCCTAAAGTCAATTCTCGTTTCATAACTCTTCCTAAATTTTAGGAGTACCAGGAAATATTGCTTGTATTCCATTAAACTGTTTAATTGCTATGGTAACAAGCGCATTCTAACATGATGTAAGCAATCACGTTACTCAGTTAACAACTCAAAAGATTTAATATATGAATAATCATCAAAGTATCTTTTATAACGGAACTCAATGGTACTTACCACAGTACCAAATTCATTAATGCTAGGCTCCCTAACACGTGAACTTGATTCAAAACTAAATGCCCCAAATGAAACCCAGAAAGAACTACTACAAGGAAGAAAAGGGAAAAATAAGATATGGAAATAAAAGTTTAAAGATGGCCAATGACCAAAGATATAGCTAAGGTAGAAGGTGAAATCTCCAAGTGGTCTGTCTACCGTCCTACACACTACTTCCATCGTAGCCATTTTAGACTTTTTTTTTAAATGTTAAAAAATGTGTAGGAACGCTGCACTATTATTTGTCCTGGGGACAACGCCCTCAACCCTCTAGTACTCACTGTCTTTTACAAACCAAGAGTAAAAACCAAATAGCCTCCTTTCCCAAGTTGTAAAAGCACAACCGCTTCTTCTTGTGAAAAAGTAATTTTCAACATTATTTGTTCATCATACATATTTATGACCTAAGTATGTATTAATCCTGCTGCAATTCTATTAATCAAAAAAGTAAAACCCTAAATACTGACATAGGCAATACTATACACTACTCAAACAAGCATTCAAGAGTTAACCCAAGATTAGGTATAGCACGCTAGAAAATTTAAGAGAAGATACAGCAACATCACTCCTGAGCATAAACACACGTGAGGGTAAATGGTCCCATATTTCGGTATTCTATCTTGCTGTCATGTGGCTGCTGATACTATACTAGCAGTGGGGACCAACATCAATTTCATCTGTAACATCCTACCCAGGAATCTGAACATGTGGCAGGCAATCAAATATTTATTTATGGTGAATAACATCTTAAACCTTTAGAGTCCCTTAAAAAAAGTAAAATAACACTCAGTAAAACTTTCAATATTCCGTCTACACTAAATGAAAAACACAAAACATCCTTCAGAAACTTCTTGAACTTTAGTTACCACTAGAACAGAGCTGTTCCAACTTCAACAGATTCATAATCAATACTAAAATTTTCTAATCAAATATTAACTGCAATTAGAGAAACTGCTCTGATTTATGTACTAAGACAAAGGGAAATAAAGCAAATGGTACTGATGTTCTCCTATACAAAAGGCAAACATTTTGAAAGGGAGTGTAAATTTATAAATAATGTGAAAGTACTGCTCCGCCAGCCTATTTTTTTAAAGATCAGTTATATACGTAAACAAATCATTTTTTCTATCTAAAGTCCACTGGGTTTAAGCTTTCGTTGTTCCTTTTAGTTTCAAAAATAGCTCTGGTTTAATAAACACAGGTCTAAATAACCTAAAGGAATAAAACACTTTATTTTAAAAATTCAAATATGCTTCAAATAAAAACTGTCCATTTATTAAGCAACCAGAGTTCCAAGCATTGTACAAAACACTAAAACACCTGTTCATACTTTTAGAGCAAATCTGCCTACTCTGTTGCACTTATTTTTGCATGACGTTGACATTTCAGTTCCACGGTCATAAAATGACCTGTTCTTCACGAAGTGCTCCAGAAACAAGTTTCTGATCCACAGAAGAAGATCGTGCAGGTTAATGCAGAAGTCAGCTGCTGAAGTTTCTCTGTCAACTGTTACACTTAATGTCCTCTCCCTGATTAAGAGAAAATGAAAGTATTAAAGCTACAGAAAAATGCATTTTTTTTTTTTTTTTGTGTGTGTGTGAGGAGGACTAACCCTGAGCTAACATCTGATGCCAATCCTCCCCTTTTTTCTTGAGGAAGATGGGTCCTGAGCTAACAACCGTGGCCATCTTCCTCCACTTTATATGGGACGCCGCCACAGCATGGCTTAACAAGCAATACGTCGGTGCACGCCGGGGATCCGAACCTGCGAACCCCAGGCCACCGCAGCAGAGCACGCACACTTAACAGCTTGTGCCACCAGGTCGGCCCCGAAAAATGCATTTTTAATAGCACTCACTATTACACAAATCTCTGGTTTAGAATCAGCATTAGTTCTTGTAATGTTTAGCAAACCTACTTTACCAAATTAACTGTCATTCATATTATACCTTTTTTCAAATTAATAATACAACAAAATAAATTAGAAGTAGGTGAAAAATTCAAAGAGAAAAGCAAGGAAGAGTGATGTAAAATGAAGCTATAAATTAGGCTAAGCAAAGAACTCCATGGTGTTCTCTATTCTTGCCGGCAAACAGAAATAAACCCAAATAAAAATAAAAAGTGGTAGACAATACCAATTCTAGAACTTCAGTCATTTAAAGACTTTTTCCACACTCACCTCTGAAACCACCACCGCCCCTTCCTCCTCTGAAGCCTCCGCCTCCTCTTCCACCTCTGAAGCCACCTGAGAATAAAGGAAATGTTTACGAAATAACTGGAGCCTGCTGTATTCTGATAAGCCTACAATATCAGTACAATTCCCACAATTAAAGAGAATAATAAATATAGGTTCGCATATGTTATCTTGCAGAATTTTTTAAAAGATAAAAATAAAGAAACTGTAGTAGTTTCCCAATCGAGCAGCAGCCTCAAACTCTAGATTACAACTTTTTAAACAAGTATTCTGTTTTAACGAATTAGAAAAGCTTGTTACTTTAAGGTTCGATTAAGCCCTATTGTTAAATGTATGAGAACCTCAACTCTGCTTATGGTAAATAGTCTTCTGCTTAACCTATGACTTTTCATCCTAAGAACTAAAGGTAGCAGATATGGGTGGTTAAGCCCAGGGGATACTACAATAAATACAATGTTGAAGGTTAACTGAGCTGCACATGGACCATCACGGATGCTCGCATGTTAATGAGCCTTGAAATTTTAAATTTTTAAAGCATTTTTCTATTATCCAACACATATTTGGCTTCCTATTTCAGTCCCCACTTTTACTTATTTTGGGGGCTACCTTTGTAAGGAATGATAAATTATACAAGGAGAAATTAGGGCCGGCCCTGTGGCTTGGTGGTTAAGTGCGCGCGCTGCAATGCTGGCGGCCCGGGTTCGGATCCCGGGTGCGCATCGAGGCGCCACTTCTCCGTCCATCCTGAGGCCGAGTCCCACATGCCGCAACTAGAAGGATGTGCAGCTATGACATACAACTATCTGCTGGGGCTTTGGGGGGAAAAAATTAAAAAAAATAAAATAAATACAAGGAGAAATTATAAAAAGAGGA